AAAAGCTAATAGCACTGTCAAATTATGACAAAAGTGGAAAAATAGATAGTTCCGTGGAACCAAATTGATGGATGCCAACTCAACTCTAGCAGTTGAATGATTCTGTTTGATGACTTACCTGCACCAAAATCAACCTCATCAACACCGTATCGGCTGCAACCCTGCAGAATAAAGATGAGAGGTTAAAACAAGAAGTGCTAACCTAAACACGTCCAACTGTTAAGAAGTTTATGTTTAAAAAAAACATAATATTATTATATTATAGGAAAGATAACTTGGACAAGGTCACACCTCAATGTTATACAAGCCAATTTTTCCATCAAAAGAAGATGCTGATATTACTCCAGGTATCTTTGGATACCAGTGCACATCAAAGTTCCAGTTGGTACTGGCAGGCAATTCACAAACAATCTATGCTCCAAAATAAAAAAAATATCACAATTCAGAATGTAATATTTTGATCAAAGGTTAAGAAACATACAGATCCAGAACAAGTGAGGAAACATATTAGTAATCAAGTCATTCCCCAACCTCGCCAGTAACCGTATCCCAACAAATAGTTCGATTATCTTTGGCACATGTGAGCAAATAAGAGCTCTCAGAGGGACACCATGCCATTGCAATTACACCTGCAACAACGCATGTAATCAAATATTATCATGAACTTAAAATAATACAACTCTAATTTAACTTACAACAATAAAAGACCTACAAAATAACGTATCAAACTTCTACCTGAATGGGGAGATGAATAACTGACAGAAAAATTAACAGAAAATGACCTATACCATGAAACGCTCAAAGTCCTAACTCTATCCGGTCTCACAGATACCATTTTGACTGAGAGGCACCAAATCAATCTCAAAGATCTATTTTCAATCTGATTTTAGCAAGCTAATTATTTACATCTTAGATTCTCATATTATATGGTATAGTATCAGGTTAAGCTGAAAGGGCATATAATTCTCTAATCAAGTACAGCCAATGTAAAGAAGGTAAAATGTCAACAAGTTCTAAAAATATTGCATCAACTTCTGAAGCATTGGTACCTTTTGTGTGCCCTACAAACTCCTTCACTGGTGACATTATATTCCGCATATCCCAAAGCTGCTAGCAAAAATACCAGAAATTAATAAATTCCAAACAAATAGTAATCCACATTCCACATTCGAAGCAACATCAAAAGATTATTACCCTTAAAGTGGGTGAATCATCTTTATCAGAAGCAACAACAAGTTGAGTGGCAACATCAGGATGCCACTGCAAAACAGAACACCGCCTTCTAACTGAATCTGCAAAACTGTAGATTAAAAAAAAGATTAGGTCAAAGATGAGGTGGGTCAGGATGGAAATAAAATGAAGAAACAAGAAGAAAATATCACTTGGTAGATAACATGAACTTTACCTTATCACTGGTTTTTGCTTCTTCAAGTCCCAAACAACTGGAAATTATAAATATAAAAAATTATAAATATACAAATTATCTCCCCAGCTTAACTTAAAGGGCAAAACAATAAGTCTAGAGTCCATTAACTTCCTCACCAGTTGTTCCATTATAAGAAGTCGAGGCCAGTATATGCGGAACCTTACAATTCCAAGAAAGAAACGAGATTTCACCTTGAGTGGCAGAACCACTACCCTGTATGATGACCATAAAAAAATTGTCAGATACTTCCATAGTCCATATATTGGCTTTTTCTTTCTAATTGGGGGGGGGGGGATTCTAGCCTAACCTATTGTATAGGTTGAACATGAACAGAAATAAGCATTTACACAGAATGAAAAGGCATTTAGTGGAACAGCAATGGTGTGAAATGTGTTAATCCTAATTCTATACACAGCTCAGAACCAACAGACAATGGCCATGCAGTACTTTGCCATGGTGAGCACCAAGCAGATAGATGAAAGAGCTTTACAATTCAAAAGTCACAAATGATTGCCCCAGACCTTAAGAGGAGGACAATGAGATGGTTGTGCAGGTGCTAACAAATCCCAGATGCAGATTTCACCATCATCGGCCCCAGATGCTAGCAAGTTTGGCGCAATGGCATTGAACTCAAGACCACGAACCTAAAGTATGAGGATGGGAAAAGAAGAAATATAACATGAAATCTTCGAATGCTAGATGAAAAATTTAATATATATCAAAATAGTAGAGGTTTTATTCTCAAAAAAAGAAGAAAGAAAGAAGGAAACTCACAGGCCCTTTGTGTCTTGAAAGATGTACAATAAGAGCTTGTTCACTTGACACAGTGCTGAGTAAATTGTTATGTTCAAACCAAATTATTATCTTCTAGTTTCAAAGTGGCAAAAAATAACCAATACATATTAAAGGAATTACAGAGAGTAAATACTAATAACTGACAAAAAAATGTGAAAGTAACCAATTCCAATCATGTAGAAAAACAAAGATTATAAATGACTAGATAAAAGGATTAAATCTTCTCTAAGAAAGGTCCCAGTTAAGAATCGTGTTAATCATAAATATTTCCAAAAATGATGATATTTTTGTTCTTCTGATTCTTAGTCTCAAATAAAATACAACATGATTGAAATTAACCACAAGAAGAGTTTTTGCTCATTAACCAAATTCTTTTAGGAATGATCCAATCATAAACTAACACAAAACAATCAGTGCTCATGAGCTGCTACGCAGATCATGCATGTAGCCTGTTAAAGGCAATGCCAAGATCAGGCACAATGAATTACCAGACAGTTTACAGGAGAATTCAGTTTGAATAAGTAATCTATAACTCACAAATCATGGGAACATTATTACATTACCAAATCATGAAAAAGCTAACTTTGAAGTAAACAAGCCAAAAAGTTTAAACCATAAAAAGCACCAAATAAACACTAGAAGTAAAAACTTAAAAAAAGTGTATAAAAATGCGTAAATGAACATTATATAAGAGCAGTACAATCCCAAATAGATAGAAAGCAGTCACAATTTTCCCATCCAAACCAACATCATACACTTAAAGCCTGCAACATAGCCAAATTAACTTAATCTATTTCCCCAAATTAACTTGATCTATTTCCCTATTCTTTCGCTACATGTCCAATTTAATCGAAAATTAAAGTGAACTAGATAAAATCAACCATTATATACATTATGTCGATAGATTGTATAAAATATACCGGATCAAGTTTAAAGGGTTCCAAAGATCGATATGGCCATCAACGAGGCCACCAGCAATTAGCCCGAGTGAGAAGTCATCAGAGCTCGATCCGTTCTTTCCCCAAGCGATGCGGTTAAATCGCTCTGAAGTGGGGCACTCGCCTACCACAGGAATCTCGCGATCGTCAATCTGGAAATCAAGCTTGAAAATCTCGAGATTCGCAGATGAGCTAAAGGACGGATCCACCGCCCCAGACATCGTCCCGGCCGCCATGTAAGGAGCGTCCGGCGCCAGTGCCACTTGCGCCGATCTGTTCACCGCTTTTATACACGCCATTTGATTAAAAGCAAACCTTACGGTATTGAATTATCTTATTTGATATAGTGATAAATAAACAAAGAACGATAACAGTTATCTGCTCATATGTGAATATATGAATTGGATTAAAATGGCAATGAATTGAAGGATTATGGTTTGATTTGATCTAATTTCGGGAATGCAGAACGAGGAGAGAGAGGCAAAAGCGGGCGAAACACTGGAGTGAGTTTCTTTTTTGGCGATCTTTGTTTTCTCTTTTGACTGATTGTGATTGATGGAGAAGGAGAGCGGTAAACCGGTAATTTGCCTCTGGCAGTGATTGCGGTTTCTAGCTCTAGCGGTTGTTCTCTTGTTTCATAAATGTTCCACGGAGCAATTGCGGGAGTTTTAAGAGACTGTTATTTTCCTGTCCGTCAGTAGAGAGGGTAAATCAGGAATGAAAGTTCAAACTTGGACAAAGGATTAAGGATGCAGTTGTGAGAATGTAAAAAACTCGTGGTGAATTGGTGATTATTCCATTGAGTAGAGCTGGATTGAACGATTTTTTTTTATATAATTGAATTTATCAATTTTATTTCATTAATTAAATTTAATTCAACTTTTTCAAAATGACTTGTAATTATTAGAAAGGGTTAAATATGTGTTTGGTACATGAAGTATATATAATTTCTCAATATCATATATATAATTTTTATTCTCAATTTTATATATGAAATTTCTTGTCGTTAACCAATTTAATAATTTCTGTGATAAAATCTGACGTGAGTCTTTTGAACTAATTAAAAATTAACATTTGACATATTTTAAAGTCAAAAATGGATAAATTGTATTAGATATCACTAAATTTTAAGCATTGTATCATTTATATCAATGAACTTTTAATTTTAATAATTATGATATTATATTTTGAGTTTCGCTTTAATTATGCCACTTGGTTGTTAAATCCAAACGATGACAATGCATGGATAAAATGACATTGTTTTTGGTAGGATTATTAATGCCTAAAACAATATCATTTTAGGAACTGAACTTTAGGGATGTATTGATTATACCACTGAACTTTTAAACAATTTTATTTTGATATTGCACTTTTCGGCCGTCAGCAACCTCCTGTCATCGGTCTTATTTCAAAGCAAGATTAATACCAATTCTAGGAGAAGAAAGAGGAGTAAAATACAAACGTTTTGGTATTGATTTTATCATGAAAGATGATCAATGACGAATGATGTTTAACTACTGTCAACGACCGAAAAAGTGTAATGTCAAAAATGAAATAGTTTAAAAGTTGTGTCTAAAACGACATCGTTTTGCATCAATAGTCGTAAATAAAATGATGTCATGTCTTCACACTAATTTAGTTTTTAACTGGCAGTGAAATAATTGAATCAAAAATTAAATTTCAATGCTATAATTAGAAAATTAAAAATTCATTGGCATCCGGTGTAATTTATGCTTTCTAAAATACAAAATTGATTGGGCCATATGACTTTATCCACAAGATCGTGCTATGAGACTTGAAAAATCCAAGCCCAAACCCTAAACGATTAGAACCGATTAAGCTACTCAATCCAATCCCAGCAGCAACTAAACAAAATCGGAAACCCTAGTCCCCGAATAACGCAATTGGGCGAGAAAGAAATCCAGCGGAAAGAAGCAACGATGGTTTGCATACGCAAGGCAACCATGGACGATCTTTTGGCGATGCAAGCTTGCAACCTGCTTTGCCTCCCCGAAAATTACCAGATGAAATACTATTTGTACCACATCCTCTCCTGGCCTCAGTTCCTCTACGTCGCCGAAGACTACAACGGCCGGATCGTCGGTTACGTCCTCGCCAAGATGGACGAGGAGAGCAACGAGTGTCACGGCCACATCACATCCCTCGCCGTCCTCCGCACCCACCGCAAGCTCGGCCTCGCCACTAAGCTCATGAACGCCGCCCAAGCTGCCATGGAACAGGTCTCTCTACTCTTTACCTTTTTCCTTCCATTATTTGATTCATATCGCTTGTAAATTAACGTCGTCTCTTTTTAGCATAGAGGGCTCGATCATTGTTATGCATTAGCAGAATTCTTGAGCTTTAATAAGTAATCAGAAAACATTTACATTGTTATTCAGGGTTAAAGCCAGAATTTTTATGATTTAAATGATGATAACTTCATCATTTAAGGGGGATAGAATGTAATTTTACTATGTATTAACTTATAATGTTAAGGATTTTATAGGGATTTGTGTACAATTTTCCCATTTTAGGCCTAATTTCAAAATAATGCAGGTTTTCGAAGCAGAGTATGTTTCTTTACACGTGAGGAAGAGTAACAGGGCAGCGTTTAATCTGTATACCCAGACATTGGGATATAAGATTCATGACGTGGAGGCCAAATACTATGCTGATGGGGAGGATGCATATGACATGCGGAAGCAGTTGAAGGCGAAGCCGAGTCATCAACACGGTCACCACCACCATCACCATGGTGGTGAATGTTGTTCGGGTGAGGGAAGAAACACTCAAGTTACTCAAACAAGAGGGGACTCAAAAACGGAGTCGAAAGCTAGCATGAAATTGGAGTCGAAAGCAGTATGATTACCGGAGGTAAACATGAGTATTCGCTGAAGAATTGTGTGGCATTGATCTTTGCTGTCTGGTTTTGTTATTGGTGGCTGAACTCTCTTTTCAGTGCATTTCAAAAATTATGTTGGCTTCCTACAATATGATTTTGCAAAGAGTTTTTCTCCTTAATTATGGTGTTTTTTGGACCTTTTATTTTTGGATTGGTAAAAGCACGCAACGTAAGAATTAAACCGATATGTTAATGTACGTATAAAACCAATAAGAGAATTCTAGATAGTGCATAATAGTCTATGCCCTTTTACTGTTGAAACCATTTCTAGTTTTGAAAATGCTTCTTTTGAATCTGTTCATGTTTCAAAAGATGAAATTGTTATCAATCATTTTAGGTTAAGCATAATCGAACAAATTAAAAAAACCATCTTTTTAGGTAAGAACAAAGGATAATTGAGCTCGATAGACAATTACTTGTAGAGAAGTTAAAAATATTTTTACAACCACCAAAATTTGATACCTCGCTAAAATGGCATATATTATCATATTTTAAAAAAAATGAAATACAAAAATGGATACCAATAATAATTATATAAGACTAAAGGTAATTATCTTCAAAAAAAGACTGAAGGTGATTAAATAATTAAATACTCCACATTTTACAATTAAGCCGATTTATAAACATGCATTTTAGTTAGAAAGACGGTTAAAGCAAATTTTTTTGGCTGCCAGCCATAAGCTCATCTCAATATTGAATACAATTTCAGTACGTAGAAAGTAATTCACCAAAACTGCTGCAGGAAAAAGATAAAAACTTTTTCGATGCAAATATTTCACAATAGCAATGACCTTTAACGTGAATGGATTGTTTTCTACTTGTAGAAAAAGATGCATCATCAATAAATCCATACCATGGCCTGTTCTATTCCTTGGCATCAGCAGAAGTTTGTGGGGGTAGCTTGACTATACTTAGTTGGCCTCCATCTTTGTTAGCAACTGTGGCTGCCTTTATCTCGTTGCAGTGATTTATAAACTTGGTCAGCTCCTGCTCCCATACATATTCAAATATTTTATGTTAAAATGCACAATGTTTACATGGAGCAATTGTTATTATTAATGCAAAAGCAAGTCCGTCTTCGATGGAAAATGGTTCCCACCCATCCGATCTTTACTTCTTTAATAATAAAATCGTCTACACACACAGGATAACAAACTCCACTTCTCTCAATTAAGTGTATGCCTAATCACAAATTCAGGCATCCTAGCCCTCACCAACACAGGCAATAGGCATGGAAAAAAAAAAGGCCGACCGACAACATAAGTTCCTTTACAACTAAAGGAGCAATATCAAACTCTACATTTCTCAATATTGAGTATACAAATATAGGCATTGTACTCTATAAGAAAACCATGCATATTGACTAATAGAAGAATTGTCTGTATTCTATATATAGACATGAATACAAAAACTAATGTACATACATATAAGTTTCCAGTGCCACACCTCGCCTCACCAGGCATCCCAACAAGTTGGCTCAAAACAAATTCTCTAAATCAACACCAAGACTCTCTTATGAATACAAAAACTCATGTATATAGATATAAGTTTCTAAAGCCACACCTAGCCTCACCTGGTGTCCCAACAAGTAGGCTTGAAACAAATTCTATAAATCAACACCAAGACTCTCAATGAATTCAGTTTCACTAAAAGTTAAATCTCTAGGGCAGACAGATGGAGGTCGCACCTGGATTAAAATAAGCATGCAATTTGCAAACAGAAAGGTCAAAGCAATTATACCCAAGGCTCACTAATAAACTAAACTAATGCCTGCTAACTAATTAGCCTGATGCGACCTCGAAGCTACCGACGAGAATAAACCAAGGACCCAATAATATCATATTCAGCTATTATACTTCCCATAAACAGCTCAGAAGAAGCAAATTATGTGGGGGGGGGGGAATCAAGACAACAAAATTTTCAAAGAAAATACTGTGAAGAGAGAGATTTAGAAACTTTACTCGATTAGCGTCCATTTCTTTCGATTGCTTGGATGGCTTAACGACCCTCCTACCTGCAAAGAATCAAATTTAAAATAAATAAACGCACATTCGGAACCAATACATTTACAAATAAAGCTTTTAAGAGAAGAAAGAAGAAACGACCCTTTCGAATGTGAGGAAGTTTTCCATGGCGGCTAGGAGGGATTGTTTTCTGCTTCTTTTTCCCTTTGAACAAATCTCCTTTCTGCGTCATCTTATTGGTCTTCTTTTCCCTGCAACTCGAATGTTAGGGTTGGTTTTTTTACAACCTTTCGTTCATTTTAAGCGGTACCGTAGGGTTTTGTTAACGGATCTGAGGACCCAGTTAAGTGTATATTAAACTACAGGCCTAACTTTTGAGCCTATTATAAATAGTCTGGCCTTATAAGGCTGCATCGGACACATAAACTACTAAATAGGAGTACGCACTAGGTTGACTCGAATCATACAAAGAAATGAATAAAATTACACTCAATAACCTCTAATAGAAATTGTTAAAAAACACACCCACACAACTTAAAAAAATGATTAATAAAAAATTATTAACAAAATGTTATTGCTGACACTAAAAGATACAACTTATTATCGATGATTATAAGTACAACCCTTAGAAAATTGGGTGTACTAACCCTTAATTACAATGAATCCCAAGTTGACATATTTTTATGTAAGATCGATTACAATTTCATATGTTTAGATTATAAGTACAATTAGTACATGCGGTGTGATTCCCACCCTCATTTCTTCTCCAAATCCACTTTAAAAATGGATTCATTGCCTAGACTCCTTTGCAAGAATCCGAAACCCCCTTTTCCTGTCACTCTATTTCTACCTTGTTGATGTTGGTAAGGGATCGATCACACTACTTGTTTCTGTCGCACTCAATCACATTTTTTCATCATCATCTTTGTCAAAGTTAGGTACATTAAGTCATAAGATTGCTTCTGGAATGCCACGCTTGCCACTAAGATATAATTGCGTAGGAACATCGCATTTTTGGCGACTAGAGACCGTATCCGACTGTGTCAAAGTTAATGACCCCGTCAATGCTAGCAGAGGCTCCAGCAATGAACTTTTGTTCTTTCTTATCTCCTCCAGTAAAGCTTTACTTGTGTCGATACCCGCTAGGTATCCACCGTGCACATAGCCATTGAATCTCTCACTTGTGTGTTCACCGGTGAAGAATATGCGTCCAACTGGGGCCTGGAAACTCGATGATTGTTTCATTGAGAATGTGAAAACACAAAAAATGGATAATGAAATGATATGAGTCGGTTACCTTAATATCATTAACGACTTGGTTATTGGAGATTATGGGGTAGTTGCTGTAGCTGCCACGCTGGAACCTGTTATTCCACCAGCGTGGAACAAGGATGTCAGTGGCGGTAGGTATTTCGGGCCCAAACATGTCCCTCAGCACACCCATGGCTTCTTTTAATGTCTCTTCATCGGATTGAGCTTCCACACGTTTTGATTCAGCATTGGTTAATGTTACCACCAAGATATTCGAACCGGGATATGCATTCTCCATGTGCTGAGCACAATAGCAAGATGAATTCAAGTGGGTGGTCGTTATAAAACATGAATTGATGATACAATCCGCATAAAGTTATATTATTAAATGTATTTCTCATAAATAATTAATTGATCTAACGGGATGAGATGTAAGATATCTTAAATAATGTCTATGGTTCGAATGCAACACTATGAATGATACAAACTAAATTGAGAGAATCGTCTACATAATAATTCTATATAATATCTAAATATGAATTAATCAATCAATAAATCAAATATCGGATGGTAATACCAAAAAAGGAAAACTAGACATTATTTCTCTCCATGAAAACAGAGAAACAAAGCAGATAATGCCTGGTTCCCATAATGCAACCATTTCACAGCTCCATGACAATGACAAAATAATGTTTTTATATACAAAATAAAGGAGAAGCCATTATGTGGTGGTAGTAGGTAACATCTACATGGAAAAATAAATATTACTTGTCTTTTAGCTGAAGAAGCTGCCCACAGAATTTGATTTAAGGTCATGTTCATGTCTGAGTATACAGAGTAGCATTGTCGTGTTATCACAAATCTATATATTAGTCAACATATCATGTAGGTAGCTAGGTTGGTAAAATGTAAATTATAGTTCCTAACAGGTAAAGACAATCAACAAAGTCAACCACCAGCCTCTTTCACAGATTCACTTATTGGATGTAAAAAAAGGATTGAATTTTCCTTATGCGGCAGAAACAATATTACAAAACAGGAAGCAAGTACTAAACCTGCCAAAACGTGTAATAGCCTCTCCGGTCGTGAGCGTAGATGAAGAACTCTTTGTCAGGTCCACAAGGCCAGAACTTATACGGGAACTTGAGGAAGATCTTGGTGTATACCATCACGTCACATTTCTCTATGGCCTCTGTTTTCCACCTCTGTTATTATTATTAAGTTTTTAGACGATTCAGCAATCTCTAAGATGTTCCTTTCAAAGCTCATTAATTGTTCACTGAAATTCATACAAGGGCAATGGTATGCTACGTGAATATGCATGTATAGTCTTTCACCTGGGCTCCCAATCCCATAGCGTTGATCTGAAATAATTGTCTCCGCTTATTTCTATATATTTACTACTATTTCAACTTAACCTCTAATTACATTTACCTTAAAATTTCAATTCCCAAAGCAAATATATAAATCTAGGGTAAATTAGAAAGGAGTTGATTGCTCTGTACTTCCTCAAAGTATGACCCTCATTCTAATTTGATCTCTAAACCTTTGAACATTTCAACATCATCCCTAAACTATGATATATACTAAATGAATCCCTAAACTTTTGAACATTCCAATTCATCTTCAAACTATAGACCTCATTCTATGTTGGTCCCCAAACTTTTGAATGCTTTAATTTCACCCTTAAACTTTTGAATGATTTAGTGGAACATAATTGGAATGTTCAAAAGTTTAGAGACCAATCTAGAGTGAGAATCATAATTTAGGAATGAATTTGGAATATTTAAAATTTTGGGGGTTAAATTAGAATGTGAATCATAGTTTAGAATAAAATTATAATATTTAAAAGTTTAAAGATTAATTTAGAACGAGGATCATAGTTTGAAGACGTATAATGTAATTAACTTATTAAAGGTTTTCATTAAATTATCTAAAACTATTTTTTAGTATTTAAATTTCAAAAATTATTAAATGAATATTAATTTTTAATTTTTTTACTAGATGAACATTATGATGTTAATAATCATTGATTTCTATTAAAAAATAACGTAACACATTTAAATTAATGAGTAAATAAGATAATCTAATGATATATTTTAAATTTAATCCTTAAATTTATGATACTCAAAATTTTTGTTTTATTTAAAATATTCATGTTGATATATGAACATGTAAATGTGATTTAAAAATTTGAACTGAATCCGTTACTCTTGACAAAGAAAAGAAGAGATATAAAAGAAAATTAAACAAATAAAAATGTATATGGTACTCACATGAATCACATCTAAATATAAATAACATATATCTAAGTCTTAGAAAAATACTACTATATAAAAAGTGGAAAATGAATAAAGAAAGAAGATACGTACGGGCAAGGGAGGCCTGAAGCAAATGAGGTCGCTTTGGAGAACACCAATGCTAGCGGACAAAATGACGTAGTTGGCTTCGTAAACGCAACCATCCTCTGTTTTCACCATAACGCCGTTCCTCGAGTGCTGTAATTCCCTGACAACCTGCCCCAAATCCATGCACAAAAAAACATGCTCAGCATCCTATTAACTATACAAATTTTGTGAACACTTTAACCGAAATGCGTCTGAAAATAATTGTTAGTAGGAGAAGTCCAAGGCAACAACACCCAACAAAGAAGTCTCACAAATATATGACAAGTCAAAGTAAGAAAACCCGTGCATCAAATACATACAGTTTCCAAAATGCACCGTGAATAGCAGGAAAAGGGCTGATTTTTAGTGTCATCGAGGTGGTGAAGACGACAAAATATTAAATGCAGAAAATGACAGAAACCTCCTATTTGCATGTTCTTATATGAGAGTTTGGGTGATGTTCTATGTTCATTGTGGCCAGCAAAGGGAAAATTTGGGGCCTACTGTTGATGATAGTGATGTAAAAAGTGCCTGAAAGTTCTAAAAACAATTTAACCCAAAAAGTTTGAAAGACAGGTGATTTTCATGGCTATATACGATTGAAATAGGACATGTAAAGGTCAAATTATAGCCAATTCAATATATTCAGCGGTTTTGTATCATTCAAATTGTTCCACATATAGTTGGGAACAAACCCAACACAGTTTCCTATTTCCAAACAATATCATTACAACAACCACAAAAAAATTCCAGTATTTCCAGTTAGTTTGCCCTCCTCTTTGTTTTATCCCATGATTGAGTGGCAAAAAAACAAAGAAAACCACATAGTATGGCTGAAAACACGATTAAAAAAACAAAAACACATTGACAGGTGAAGCAAAAGAAACCAAAGTGATGGTTGTTTATACCTTGTTTAGTTCGAGGCGATTATCCAGGATTTTCCCCTCCGATGTAAATAGAAAATCCTCAGCCATTTTATATAGTAAATGCTCATAACCCCTTTCATCTGCCACCAAAAATTCTCTTTCCCCAAAATCTACGTATGTTGATATTGGTTCCACCTCTGTTAAAATTATAATAAACAACACATAGCTAAGAGGTAAAATCTAAGGATTGTTCAATGCGACTTTTTCTTCATTATTATTTCCATTGCTTGACTTTTCTTAGCATCCAAACAGGGAAAAACAAAAATTAACCGTGGAACTTGCCTGCCATCTCGAAATCGTGTAATATGAAGTCAATTGCGAGCTCTATCGGTGTCTTCGGTGTTCTACAAAAGCATCCACCAATAAATTCACTTGCACACCTAAAAGAGAAAAATAATGATAAAATAATTACGAAATTATCATATGGACTTCTTACAAAGGTGACTCGGCTCCATTGGGAGCATCCTCGACACAGTTTGACTCTAGGTCCCTCAGTCTCTGTATCGCCGAGTCCACCGCTTTCTTGTACGAGTCAGCGGCGACTCCACTCGGAAATATCTTCCCGCTGCAACTCATTCATAAAAATATTCAATTTTAACACGGCTATTATTCAGAGGAAAGCATTTTTTTTTTTATAATTCATCAACTTTCAAAGCTCAACCATCCACCGCCAAATCAAGTAGTTGAAAATTTACGGGTTTTCGGATTCGAACCTCCGATCATAGATGTTATAGCGAGCATTACTGTAGTCGGAGAAGCAGGTTCGGAGGCCAAACTCAGCGGCGATCTCCCAAAGGGGATTTGACGCTTTGCCGCCTACACCGGCGATCCAACCCGCTCCGATCTCCACTGACACGCCTCCGAAACATTCTTTCCGGATCCTACCGCCAATCCTATCGGACGCTTCCAGAATCAGAATGTAGACTCCCGTTTTTGTCCGGGTTTTTTATCGTTATTTTATTATTATTATTATTATTATTATTTATTATTATATTATTAATATTACATTTTACATATTTTGCAGGCCTAATCCCTAAGCCCAATTCAGATTACAGAGGCCCAACAACCCGAAGCCCATTTGGCCCAGAGACCCTAAGCCCAATTCAGATTACATTGGCCCAATCCCGGTCCCCAATAACCATCAGATTAGGGTTTCAAACCCTAAATCAGTTTAGGGTTTCACCCTAAACAGTTTAGGGTTTCAAACCCTAAATCAGTTTAGGGTTTCAAACCCTAAATCAGTTTAGGGTTTTCAAACCCTAAATCAATTAGGGTTTCAACCCTAATCCCTTCCAGCGCCGTGTGACCTTCTCTGCCTCAGCCGCCACAGCCGTTGGACCTTCATTTGCCCAGCCGGTCAAGCTGGCTGCTTCCCTCACCGCCGCGTCATCGGAGCTGTGAAGAATCCATCCATCAAACAGTGACCGGTCCCTGTAAAAACAGTAACCAAATCAAGAATAGTGGCCTAAACTTACCAAATCTAAAAACCCATTAAAAAAACACCCGAAAATCCCGAAAAATCGGGATTTTATTCACCTAAATCAGAGAAATCAAAGGCTATCTACTAGATATCATCATGATCTCAAGGGAAATCCACATGCAAGAAAAGATAAAAGACAAAAGAAGAGAAAAGAGGGCGGTGATAACCAGAAAAAGAGAGGGAGGGCTAAAAAAAAAAAAAAACAAAGTGAAGGAGATCTTACCCTTGTAGAAAACCTCGTCGTTGTAGCCTAGCCAGAACAGAAGGCCGTATTGAAGGTAAACTGTCCCTTATTTTGGATCTAGGGTTTTCGGATAGGGGTTTCGGTTTTTTTGCTTGGGGTAGGAGAAAGGTTATTTGTTCAAAGGAAGAGAGGAGGGTTGGTCGTGGTTTGATCTCTCAAGCCATCGCCGCTGGCTGCGGCGGCCGTGGCCCTTTTTTTTTTTTTTCTCTCCACGGCGGACAGAGGCGGAGAGGGAGACTTTGAGAGCATTCTTTGGCTCTCTGTTTTAAGAAGGGAAGAAGTAGAGATGAGGGAATGAGGGCCAATCTCGTTTTAGGGCTTTAATGCCCCTGTGAAACGGCCGTGTGTTTAGAAAGAAGGGTTCTGCATTTTCCTCGTGTGGGTTAACTACACTTTTAGTCCTCCTAGCTTTGTAAACTTACCGCGTGTTTTGGGTTTTTAGGGTCTAATCACTTTTGGTCCCTGATTCTTTGTAACCGTATTATATAGTCAGTAAATGAAATTTATTTTATTTCGATTTCGAGCATTCATTTTTAGAACTTATATTTTAGTCCTATAATTGTATGATTACGATATTTTTGTTATGTTGAATTTTGGACATTATGTTTGTAATAGTTTCATTTTAGTCCTAAGTTCTTGTGTTGTGATATTTTGTGGACGTTTGAATTTAGCCATCATATTTGCAATGTTCTATTTTGGTCCCTGTTTAATGTTTGTGATATGGCTCTAAATTATTTTTATTTTCTATTAGTCCTTTAAATTTCGGTTAGTGCTATTTGGGTCCATTAACTTTCTGTTTTTTTCTGTTTAGCCTCCTAAGTTTCTGTTTATTTATTTTTGCCCCTTAAATGTTTTTTTATATTTATTTTGGTTTGTAATACTACTAATTTGTATTTAGTCTTTATGTATGGATGTGTATTTTACTCATTAGTTAATTATTTGGATTATGTAAATAATGTTTTCAATTTCATTAATGCAAATATTTTATTTTGTATTTCCAATTACATTTATTTTCATTATATCTTTATCTATGTAAGAAATATTCGATTATATTTTCAAGAACACGTATGCGTAGAATGGGCGTGGAAAGTACCACTTGGTTGAAGTGGTACGATCCGATACGGCATTTTAACGACATAGGAACTTGCAACAAGTCGAGTATATTTTACTAATTAATTTATTCAAACGATGCAATGTGTGTTATTTTAAATGACAATTACTTTATTTATGTGAATGTAAATTTCAAAATTTTAATTTGTATTCAATTCACGTTTTAGTTAATCAATTATTCGTATTAAACATTGTTTTAATTATATTCGATTTGTATTTTTAACATAATCAATGGTAGAATATTCTTTTACGAATGAGAAATAGTTGAAATAGCTTTCCCGACAGAGGATTGCAAATTTCAAGATTTCTGATTGAGTTAAAGGATTTTCTTTAAATAATTCGAGGCAAATTAAATAAATCTCAAAAAATGGATCATAGGTTAATTATATTCGATTTATCATTTCCATCATTTACGACAATGTGTACGCGACACAGTACCATTTTGGGCGCTGTGGGGGTGCTTACCCTTCCCCACACGTAACCGACTCCGAACCCGTTAAATTTGATTTCTGGTAAATGTAGACCATTTTTGTCTTAAAAATGATTTTTCTTAAATTTCTTTTAAAAGACGTTTTTAGGTATTCGACCTACCTAACCCAAAGGTCTATGGCGACTCTATTCATTTAATCCAAATTAATTCCCGAACCCGTTAAATTTGATTTCTGGTAAATGTAGACCATTTTTGTCTTAAAAAATGATTTTTCTTAAATTTCTTTTAAAAAGACGTTTTTAGGTATTCGACCTACCTAACCCAAAGGTCTATGGCGACTCTATTCAATTTAATCCAAATTAATCCAAAATACTCAATTTTTCAAAATAAAAGTCATAATCGTTTTAAAAATAATATTTAATTATTTTACAAAAAAATGGTTATGACAGCTTGGCGACTCTGCTGGGGATTTTTTTAGAGAGTCAGGCTGTATGTCGTTTACATATTGTCATCTTGGTGGAAATTATGATTTCTAGTTTTAGTTAATTTATGATCCGTTTATTGAAATTTTTAATGGCTTCGTTTTTTTGTCGTACTAACATTTTATTTTTGGCTTTCAGCTTTGTCAGGATTTTATCATTTTTCCTTGTTTTGTTTTCCTTTTGGGTCGAAGGTAGGTATGTTCCTCCTCACACACATCACTAGCATTGGCATAACATAAGCTCTAGACACGAGCTTCGATCCAAATTAGTTGGGGTGAATGCTTTACTCTCGTAAGAATTTATTCTTCGTATGAGTTTTTAGCAAATAACCCAAGGGATACATACCTTATACCTTCGTAGGGATTTATTCCTCGCACGGGTATAAGACAGTGAATCCCCTCGAATTGAACTCGTTCCATTTGAAACCTGTAATGGGTGAGGATCGAGGGTCTGGCAGCCCAAGGGGGCACCGACATCAAGGACAATTCGAGTCCCATTTTCCCGTTAGAGCCGAAACCATGCATATAGTGAACCGTAAAACGATCACCCTAGGTATAGTTATATCGAACCTCTGTCCGTCAGTAGGTACCCAAACTAAGTGTACATAAAGGAGGAGCATTTCTGAACCTTTCCTTTTTGCTTTAAATTAGGTTAAATAAAAGCATGCGAACTAGATACCATGCGGTTAGGATTAATTTCTTGAAAAGTTATTGTGGGTAGAAAGCATGTTCGGGTAGGATTGCTATTTATTGAAAGCATGTTCGAGTAGATATCATGACGGGTAGGTGTTATATTCATCTCTGAATTACATTTTTTATTTGTATCAATTATTTTACATGTACTAACTTGTTTTTCTCTTTTGTTTGTGTATACCAACTTATTTCTTCTCTTTTGTTTGTGTCATTTTGTCATTTGCATTGCATCATCATAATGCAAAAGTGTTGATCCGTAAGGGGATATTCGAGAGGAAATTTTCACAAGAAGAGGTAAAAGTTTTCAATCAAGCGATCGCATACACAGACATGCACCGAAGGCTAAAAAAGGTTCAGAATACAAGAATGAGACTTGTTCGAAGATCGTGCAACATTCGAGATTAGAGAGATTATCCTCTGATCCACTGAGTAATCCAGCAGTAGAGCCTCATCTACGATCATGTCATCACTAGTTATCAAGGAGCGACACACTGACCTCAGTACCACCGAGGCATTAACGGAGTCAGATTACAGAGCGCTAGAGGGGCATCATTATTGAGGACGAAGATTCGAGATGAAGCAGTGATCCATTCCAGGCTCACCATCTAAGCGAAGACCTGTTTGTAAATTGGATTGTCTTGTAATGTGAAAACTTTTATTTCTGGTGAAGACTATTCTATGATATTCATCGTTGGGGTCAACATTTTTCCATCTGCATTTGCATCTTTTTATTTTGCATATATATTTTATTTTTAAGCATTTTCATATGCATCATTCATAAAAACATGAGATCAATTTGTGTAAGTCAGTGGAAGTAATCCTGATCACGTGACCATAGTGAGAATATAAACAAGAAGCTGAAATCAACACGATGGAAGCTTGTTCGATTGAGTCTTCCAGGATGGTTCGAGAAAAGAGTCCCCGTTCCTGGAGGTCCATGATGTTGATCTCGGGTACAACTACAACATAGGAAGCTTCAGACATTCCACCGAGAACTGCAAGACACTAAAGCACAAAATCCATAATATGATTTATTCAGGGGTATCCTAATACTAAGCCAGAGAAGTCATTGCATCAACCACTTGCATCCATAGAGATTGTTTTGTTTGAACTCGTTTTTGTTCTTTCTTCAATATTTGCTTAAATATTTTTAATCTTTGATGACTGAAATGATGCTACCTTCTAAGGTTAAATAATTGAACAAATTTTAATCTTTAGTTCTTTGAATATCGAATGAATTACATATTCTTTTAATTCTTCAAGAATTATAGATTTTTGACATATGGCAAGATTAGACCTATTTTATCCTGGCTAAAACCCTAAAACAAAATCTCGATTTTTACCCGAAATAATCCCTGGTCACTACCAAATAACCAATTTTTGACATTCTCTATCTCTTTGAGACCTTGAAATATTCTTTTAGACCTTGAAACATTCCCTCTCTTTAAGGCCTTGAAACATTCTTTCTACCTTGAAACACTGCATTTATTTTTGAGACACAAAAGTCATACTCGTACCTTTCCTTGAGCCTATAAAGTCATCATCGTCTTCTTAGACGTAAAACCAACATTTCTACCAATAAAACCTACAGACATTGAGTACAAGATGTTTACTTGAACATAAATCTTCCTACAAAGAAGACACAGTGTGGGGCATCTCGCATCAATTTTCTGAAGACGAGCATGAGCAATTGAGACATGTTGAGAGCAAGAAGCGAAGAAAAAAATAGAATTCATTCCAAATAATTCTATCATGCATTAATTACTGTTTTCATTTAAATAAAAATTAATCCTGAAAATCTATCCCTTGGGGATACCTCTTCTGCAAGGACTTCTGTGTATGAGATGATGAACGGCTTTCTTTCTTTATCCCTTCACAAAAGGAGAAAATATATCCCTTGTGTCCCCTTTGAGCCTGAATGATATTTTCTTTTGATTCAACCCTAACCAAGGATCACCCTCCACACTGGGGGGCAATGTGAAGGAAATCTGAGTGAAGAAAATTGATCCAAATGAGATACCGGAAGGTGAACCAGACGCAGAGTGCAAAGATCAAACCAAAGAAAAAAACAAAAAGCGAAGAGAAAATCAAAGCAAAAATCAAAGAAAAGCAAAGAACAAAAGAGGACAAAGAAACACAGACAAAGAGTCTCCTGACTTAAATGAAGCATTGAGCTTCAAACCGTGAGATTAATCAAACACAATCACTCTAGAATCACTTGACTCGAAGATCATAAGACATCAAGAGAAGACAAAGGACTCATACGAGCATATTCAAATGGAGCAAAACAAGATTGAAGGCATCAGAGTTAATTGATCCTTGGTTCAAGTACCCTTAAAACACATGTTTGGGCCTTTATCCATTTCTTTCATAACCCTGAACCATGACCTACATTACGTGCCTTACAAGTCCCTTCTAATCATACATGGATTTCTAAGCGGAAGAGACTATCCTCATATTTCATCCCGCCTATCAGGATTAATATTTTACTTATAAAGATTTTCTAAAATCTTTAATGCATGATAGAGAAAAATAACAAAGGGGGGTTAAAGACGTAAAATTCTGAGTAACGTCTTGAAACCAAAGGAGGATTCGAGTTGAAAACCTGAAAGGGCGGCTCGAATATGAAAATTATTACATAGGAGACGATTGCTCAAATCCCTTGATGAGGCATCACACAACATGAATGAGAACATGAGAGTTGGGAGTCAGAGAACACTTCCAATAACTGAGTACAGAAGCTACTCCATCAGATCAGTGAACAAAAGAATAAATGAGAACACTATACTTTTGACCAAAAATATAACCACTTGAGACTTTTTTATCCTTCCTTACTTAACCATCTCTCAAAGATAGCATTGATCTTGACACTTGTCAAATAGCTATAATTTATTGAAGGATTAAAAGAGTAATTAATTCTTTGATATCCAATGAACTCTTGTTTTATGATTTGTCAATTGTGAAACTTTGAAAGGAGTAATATTTTCAAAACTTTTGATTAAACATTTTTCAAAACTATTGATATTTTCAGACTTTTGAAAATAAAAGAAGAAGAAAAACATTTTCAAACAAGATAATCTCTCTCTGGAGGCAATTCTTGGAATTCAAAAAAAAATATCTATCTGAAGCTCAGAATCGAAGCTGGGGCAAGAGAAAGCTAATTTTTGGACAAAATTTGATGGGACAAACAAATGGTCTCAGGTCAAGGTTTGCAGGAGTACACCATGGTGGAAATAAAGACAAACTGAATCAATGATATAGTGAAGACTGCTCTCGCAACCATTCTTCTTTCAGCTCGAGAAAAACATACATCAACACATACATACATACACATACATACATGATACATAAATTTTGCATCAAACATTTATCATCATGTGTATTAAAGACATTTTTCTCCTCACTTGAGGACAGAAAAAAAAATCAAATAAATTTCATATTGACATCTATCATAACATCCAAGATAATTAGTCAAAAGTGCATCATTCTGATCTTTTCAGGAAATAAGAGCTCGGAAATAACCAGATGTTTTCAACCTGAAAGAACAATGCAATCCACATATTTGGCTTCCTGAAGTCAACAATCGGATCTTCTGAAGACGTTTCCTCAACATGCAGGAATCAATAGACAGACTATGCGCTCTTGAGATTATCTTATTAAAAAAAAACAAAGTTTCGTCTCACTAGAGACAGTTTTCTTAAAAACAAATTTTATCTCGCTTGAGACAACTTTCTCTTTAAAACAAATTATGTCTCGCTTGAGACATTTTTCCACAAATTTTGAGAATTTTAAAACAAATTGCGTCTCGCTTGAGACATTTTTCCTTTGAGATACAAATTTTGAATTTGATTCACTAAAAACAAAATTAATCTCACCTTAGATTCTTGTTTCTTTCAAAACAAATTTCGTCTCGCTTGAGACCTTTTCCCTTTGAGATCAAAATTTCGAATTTGTTTCACATTAAACAAAGTTGATCTCACTTGAGATCGTTTTCTCAAAAACAAACTTTGTCTCGCTTGAGACAATTTCTCTAAAAACAAATTTTGTCTCATTTGAGACTGTATCTTAAAGCAAATTTCGTCTCGCTTGAGACATCATTTCTCTCATAATACCAAATTTCAAGGTTGTGTACTTAAAGCAAAATTAATATCACTTGAGATTTTCAAAGCTGATTTGTCTCGCACGAGACATTTCCCCTCTTAACAAATCCTGAAATTGTTTCATTTGAAACAAAATAAACGCTTTTGAAAACACCTTTGAGATTATTTCCATATAAACAAAATCGACAATATTTGAATCTTTTAAAACGATTTTTTATCTCTTAAAGACAATTTCTTTTGAAAAAATCTTTGAGTTGTTCCTCTTGAAAAAAATCTTTGAGTTGTTCCTCTTGAAAAAATCTTGAGTTTGTTCCTTTGAATAAAAATCTTTGAGTTTGTTTCTTTTGAAACAAAATTTGTCTCTCTTAAGATAATTTCTTTTGAAACAAAATCTTTGAGTTGTTTCTTTTGAACAAAATTTTGTCTCTCTTAAGATAATTTCTTTTGAAACAAAAATCTTTGAGTTTGTTTCTTTGGAAGCAAAATTTTGTCTCTCTTAAGATAATTTCTTTTGAAAAAATCTTTGAATCTGTTTCTCTTAAAATGAATTTTGTATCTCTTGAGACAGTTTCTCTTGAAGTAAATCTTTGAATATGTTCATTTTGAAAATCTTTGAGTTTGTTTCTCTTAACAAAATCATCTTTGAGTCTATTTCTTTAAAAACAAATGTTGTCTCTTGAGACAATTTCTAATTAAAAACTAACTTTTGAGATGTTTCATTTGAAACAAATTTGGTCTTACTTAAGATGTAATCCATCTTTGAGTCTATTCTTTTGAAAAAATTTTATCTCTTAAAGACAATTTCTTGAAAAAAATCTTTGAGTTTGTTTCCTTTGAAACAAATTTTGTCTCTCGAGACAACTTCTTTTGAAAATACCCACATTTGAGATCGTTTAGACAATTTCTTTTAAAACTACCCACCTTGGAGATTGTTTTTATTAAAACAAATTTGACTCCCTTGAGGCAGTTTCTCTAGAAATACAAAATCTTTGAGTTTGTTTCACTTAAAATAAAACCATTTTTGAGTCGTTTCACTTGAAACATTTTCTCTTGAAACATTTTCTCTTAAAACAAGATCATCTTTGAGTTTGTTTCTCTGGAAACAATGTTTTATACCTTAAAACAATTTCTTTGAAGAAAAATCTTTGAGTCTATTCTCTGGAAACAAAATTTTGTCTCACTAAGATACCATTTTCTGAAAAACAAAGTTTTGTCTCTTATGACAATGTCTTTTCAAAAAAAAAAAAAAAAATCATTGAATCTCTTTCTTTGGAAACAAAATTTTATGTCTCTCGAGACAGTTTCTTTGAGAAAAATCTTTGAGTTTGTTTCTTTGGAAACAAAATTTACCATCTTTGAATCTGTTTCCCTTGAAACAAAATAAACATCTTTGAGAACGTTTCCCTTAAAAACAAATTTTGTCTCATTTGAGACAATTCCCTTTAAATGCCATCTTTGGGTTGTTTCCTTTGAAACGAATTTTGTCTCTTTTGAGACAGTTGCTTTTGAAAAACTTATCTTTGAGTTTATTTCACTTGAAACAAAGCAAATATCTTTGAGATCGTTTCTCTTGAAACGAATTTTGTCTCCCTTGAGATAATTTTTATCAAAATTCAATTTTTGAGTTTGTTTCTACTGAAACACATCTTTGAGTTGGTCTCCCTTGAAACCATTATTCCTAAGATGGCCAGTAGTCCTCATCACATAGGAACCGTGTCATCCCCAGACCAGATCTCCTCATCACGTAGGAGTCGTGTCAACCATGGATAACCAGCCGTCCTCATCACGTAGGAACCGTGTTATCACCTTTAGATGGCCAGAACTCTTCATCACGTATGAGCCGTGCCATTCACCAGACCAGATCTCCTCATCACGTAGGAGCCGTGTCAACCATAGATAACCAGCTGTCCTCATCACGTAGGAACCGTGTTATCACCTAAAGATGGCCAAGAACTCTTCATCACGTAGGAGAAGTGTCATCCCTCGATCGGATTTCCTCATTATGTAGGAACCTTGTCACTTTTAGACGACCAGAACTCTTCATCATGTATGAGCAGTGTCGTCCCCAACAACCAGTATTATCCAATTTCTATGTATAAATGGAAGAGAACCAGACAAAAACGTGTTGTCTTATCATCTTTGCCCTATTCTTGTTAACACAAGAATGTGCAAAGAGGGGCAGCTGTAGACTCCCGTTTTTGTCCGGGTTTTTTATCGTTATTTTATTATTATTATTATTATTATTTATTATTATATTATTAATATTACATTTTACATATTTTGCAGGCCTAATCCCTAAGCCCAATTCAGATTACAGAGGCCCAACAACCCGAAGCCCATTTGGCCCAGAGACCCTAAGCCCAATTCAGATTACATTGGCCCAATCCCGGTCCCCAATAACCCATCAGATTAGGGTTTCAAACCCTAAATCAGTTTAGGGTTTCAAACCCTAAATCAGTTTAGGGTTTCAAACCCTAAATCAGTTTAGGGTTTCAAACCCTAAATTAATTTAGGGTTTCAAACCCTAAATCAATTTAGGGTTTCAACCCTAATCCCCTTCCAGCCGCCGTGTGACCCTTCTCTGCCTCAGCCGCCACAGCCGTTGGACCTTCATTTGCCCAGCCGGTCAAGCTGGCTGCTTCCCTCACCGCCGCTGTCATCGGAGCTGTGAAGAATCCATCCATCAAACAGTGACCGGTCCCTGTAAAAACAGTAACCAAATCAAAGAATAGTGGCCTAAACTTACCAAATCTAAAAACCCATTAAAATAACACCCGAAAATCCCGAAAAATCGGGATTTTATTCACCTAAATCAGAGAAATCAAAGGCTATCTACCTAGATATCATCATGATCTCAAGGGAAATCCACATGCAAGAAAAGATAAAAGACAAAAAGAAGAGAAAAGAGGGCGGTGATAACCAGAAAAAGAGAGGGAGGGCTAAAAAAAAAAAAAACAAAGTGAAGGAGATCTTACCCTTGTAGAAAACCTCGTCGTTGTAGCCTAGCCAGAACAGAGAAGGCCGTATTGAAGGTAAACTGTCCCTTATTTTGGATCTAGGGTTTTCGGATAGGGGTTTTCGGTTTTTTTGCTTGGGGTAGGAGAAAGGTTATTTGTTCAAAGGAAGAGAGGAGGGTTGGTCGTGGTTTGATCTCTCAAGCCATCGCCGCTGGCTGCGGCGGCCGTGGCCCTTTTTTTTTTTTTTCTCTCCACGGCGGAGACAGAGGCGGAGAGGGAGAACTTTGAGAGCATTCTTTGGCTCTCTGTTTTAAGAAGGGAAGAAGTAGAGATGAGGGAATGAGGGCCAATCTCGTTTTAGGGCTTTAATGCCCCCTGTGAAACGGCCGTGTTTTAGAAAGAAGGGTTCTGCATTTTCCTCGTGTGGGTTAACTACACTTTTAGTCCTCCTAGCTTTGTAAACTTACCCGCGTGTTTTGGGTTTTTAGGGTCTAATGTCACTTTTGGTCCCTGATTCTTTGTAACCGTATTATATAGTCAGTAAATGAAATTTATTTTATTTCGATTTCGAGCATTCATTTTTAGAACTATATTTTAGTCCTATAATTGTATGATTACGATATTTTTGTTATGTTGAATTTTGGACATTATGTTTGTAATAGTTTCATTTTAGTCCTAAGTTCTTGTGTTGTGATATTTTGTGGACGTTTGAATTTAGCCATCATATTTGCAAATGTTCTATTTTGGTCCCTGTTTAATGTTTGTGATATGGCTCTAAATTATTTTTATTTTCTATTTAGTCCTTTAAATTTCGGTTAGTGCTATTTTGGTCCATTAACTTTCTGTTTTTTCTGTTTAGCCTCCTAAGTTTCTGTTTATATTATTTTTGCCCCTTAAATGTTTTTTATATTTATTTTGGTTTGTAATACTTACTAATTTGTATTTTAGTCATTTATGTATGGATGTGTATTTTACTCATTAGTTAATTATTTGGATTATGTAAATAATGTTTTCAATTTCATTTAATGCAAATATTTTATTTTGTATTTCCAATTACATTTATTTTCATTATATCTTTATCTATGTAAGAAATATTCGATTATATTTTCAAGAACACGTATGCGTAGAATGGGCGTGGAAAGTACCACTTGGTTGAAGTGGTACGATCCGATACGGCATTTTAACGACATAGGAACTTGCAACAAGTCGAGTATATTTTACTAATTAATTTATTCAAACGATGCAATGTGTGTTATTTTAAATGACAATTTACTTTATTTTATGTGAATGTAAATTTCAAAATTTTTAATTTGTATTCAATTCACGTTTTTAGTTAATCAATTTATTCGTATGTAAACATTGTTTTTAATTATATTCGATTTGTATTTTTAACATAATCAATGGTAGAATATTCTTTTACGAATGAGAAATAGTTGAAATAGCTTTCCCGACAGAGGATTGCAAATTTCAAGATTTCTGATTGAGTTAAAGGATTTTCTTTAAATAATTCGAGGCAAATTAATTAAATCTCAAAAAATGGATCATAGGTTAATTTTATATTCGATTTATCATTTCCATCATTTACGACAATGTGTACGCGACACAGTACCATTTTTGGGCGCTGTGGGGGTGCTTACCCTTCCCCACACGTAACCGACTCCCGAACCCGTTAAATTTGATTTCTGGTAAATGTAGACCATTTTTGTCTTAAAAAATGATTTTTCTTAAATTTCTTTTAAAAAGACGTTTTTAGGTATTCGACCTACCTAACCCAAAGGTCTATGGCGACTCTATTCAATTTAATCCAAATTAATCCAAAATACTCAATTTTTCAAAATAAAAGTCATAATCGTTTTAAAAATAATATTTAATTATTTTACAAAAAAATGGTTATGACACAGAAAATCCGCAATTCCGTTCTCGGCCAAAACCTTCGCCGCCGATATACCTAACCAGGATTTGAAAAATCATCAATTAAAAAAATTTAATCCCTCGTCGAGAACACGTGTTATACATCACTATATTTCTTCGTTTAAAAATAAATGCACTATTTTCTTAGATTGTTTAATGTTACCGACCGGAGGCGCCGGCGCCGATGATGATGACGGCAGAGCGAGAAGCGGAGCCCATTGAGAAAGAGAAAGAAATTGAATGTGTGTTTTGTCTGTATTTGAATTTTGTTAAAGACTGTTAAGTCTGTTAGCGATAGACGCAGAAATAGCGGGAGTTGGTTTATATAGGCATTTTTTCTCTCTCCATAACTTATAGCAATTTCCTTTAATAATTTCTTTCTATTCCCTTAAAAAAATATTTTTCTATTTAAAATATATTTTCAGTTTATTTTGTTAGTTTAATTTGAACTGGCAGGTGGGAGAGGCAACCGAAACAATTGATGCAGCCATGCCCAATTTAGTTAGTCGTAATTAATTTAGGAAATTAATATATTATATGATAAATATAATTTGGTTTCGAAATTTAATTTCATAATTAAATTTTCACTGGTCTAGTTGATTATTTAAATTCAATTTTTATTATATAAAGTACTAATAATATAATTTTGTTAAAAATTTTCATGGTAAAGGTTTAATCTCATATTTCTTAATTCAAATGGATATCTCAATTTAATTTTCTAGATCAAATTAGTTAAAATCTCAAATATTAATTTTAATTAATAAATTAAATTTAAATATCAATTTATATAAAAAAATCTAAATTTATGTATCAACTTAAACATTTACTTTAACATTTAATATAATTATATATTAGTTAACTCGTATAATATTATCTAAAATCAAATATCTAATTGATCAAGAAAATTGATCACATTAAAATCAAAAGTTTAGATGTCAAAATAAATATTATATTTGTTTACATTAGTATAAAATTAAAATTTTTAATAATTAAATAATTTATCGTTATAATTAGAGATGAACATGAGATTCAGACTCAATAGATTTTGATTTGATGTAATCTTAAATGGACCTACGCGATGCCATCCAACATAACAAAAATCCTACCTTATAAGGATAAATTCAAGTTGATGATTGAGTTTAGGGTAATAAATACCTGAAATAGCTCTAATAAAAAATATAATTATTTTATATATTTAGAGATAATTACAACAATTTATCTCTATATTTTTCCAATTAAATTATTATTTTACCTAATAAAAATAAGTTTATATATATATATATGTGACGATTTGGTGCATATTTTTATCATTGAAATAGTGCTCAAAACATAAATTGAGTGAAATTTTAGGTCAAATCAAGTGATGAATGGTGAGATAGAATGCTAAAAAAATTTCAATTCCATCAAACACTCGACCAAAACGTAACTCATACCAATCTCTAATTATAATTGTATTTATGATATAAATAAATTATTAAATTAATCTAATACTTATAATATCATTATGTTTTTTACATTAAATTATTTTGAAATTTGTTCATAGTCTTCATTGAAATAGTGCTCAAAACATAAATTGAATAGTGGTAATAAAACTTAGTGTAAATTACACGCTTAGTATCTAAACTATTATTCTTGTTTAGATTTACTACCTAAGCTTTATTTCTTTTTTAAAATCATACCTAATGTTTATTTTATGTTTCAATTTGATATCGTTAAAAATTTAGCGACAACGATGACATGTAATTATTTATCCATTTTTGATATTCATCGCATTTTGTAATGTAAATTCCACATCATCAATGTCATTAATTTTTTAACGTTAATGTATAAAACCGAAATCTAAACTAAATGCTATGTATAATTTAAAAAAAATAAAATTTAAATACTAAAATAAAACAAAAGTTATAATTAGATACTAAACGTGAAAATTACCGTAAAACTGAAAATCATATATAGATATGTAGGGGTTAGAGTAACTTGTGAGCGGAATCTATATTCCCACAATTTCAGCGGAAAGATGTGAAGGTAAAACCCCACCGATAATTTTTATGCCCACATATGATATCAAATCATGTCGGTTATATACAAACAGTAATCTCAATCGTACAAAGTAAAGGAGGTATAATGCTCCAAAAAATTAAATATTAATATATATATATTGGTATGTAAATTTTTAATTAGTACGAGGTGAATATTATTATATAAGATAGTATGTATTTGAAGATTTTTAATTATTTAATAATAAATGTTCGTATATTTTAACATACATAATATTCAAACTCAAAATCTCAAAAAATAACAATAATCTTATAATCATTAAAATAACTTAATTCATACCATATTAATATATTTTAATGTAACTCTTAAAATCTACGAATATCAGATAATAGATAATATGCACAACCTTATTAAAGGATATCCCATAATACATTGCTTAAATTGAAGGTTACTCTATACATTCCATAAGACAAGGAAGTCGTGGCCGGCCGCCGACGCCACTAAATATTTTACCACTATTAGTTACATTTATCGCGTAATATGTGCCTATATGTATTCTCAAGTATTTGTTAGCAATATTTATTGATTATGCACGAATCAAATGGTTTTGATGATTAAGAGATTTGTTATTATTTCTTCAGGTTTTATGCTCGAATATCGTGTATACAAAAATATGAGCGTCGATTGTTAAAAGATTGAAAATCTTTAAACATATATTACTTTATATCTACCCTAAGTTTATTAAAAAAATGGTATTTACCAACCACTATAGTACAAAATAACTATAGTGAAAATTTAAAAAGTATTTTTGGATCAAA